TGTGTCTGAGGTCCTCTTGGTCCATATGGAGGCATATTTGGGACTAGTTGTTCCTGTGGTGCTGGCTGCTGTTGAGGGTATGGGTGACCCTCTGAGCTTGTCCTGCGAAAGGTGTTGGAATAGGTGTTGTGTCTCTTCCAGTTGCAGGAAACACTTCCAACCCTCCGGGTACAAATTCGAACAAAAGATTAGTGAACCCCCTTGTGTCAGGTATGACTTCGAATGTGGGATTTGGAAGTATCCTTATGTCATTTTCTTATATTGGCCCAGATCTACCAATTTACATGGTTTCATTTTTAAGTAATGAAGCATTTTGATTTGTCACAGGCCTCGAAAGAGGCTTATACCAGGACTGAGGTGATGGTCTTTCATAGTTTTGATTACTAGTTTGACCATTAGTATGTCCATTACTCGGCATAGGCTGTTTATCTCTAGCCAATCTTTACTAAGGGACATTTGAAATTTCCTCTGTGTGCCTTGCGTTAGTTGGTTGATAGGTATTCATTCGATCCATAAATGATATTGCCCATCTTTCCATTGTTTTCATTAACTGCTGTCCCGTGGCATCTACTAGGCCTCCCCATAGATTCATTGGCTGAGTAGATAGAACAGTGGATGGTCCAATTTCACGGCCTTGTTCAATATTTTGAACATATGGTACTTGCTCCGAAGTGCTGGTCTGTTCGACCATATGTTCTGATAAAACAGGTGCTTCCACAGGATGTGTTATTATATTATCCTCTAGATTAGGTATTTCTACCTCTCCTTTTACGCCTTTTTCAAAGCGTTCATTTTCTCCTTGTCCCATACGTCTAACCATTTCAATTAGTCCCACTGGACGTGCCAAAAATATATGTTGGCTTCTTTGGCTTTTGAAGGTTATTATTGTAATTTTAAGCGTGCCAGCAAGGATCAATCAGCCCTTACAGAAGATTAATTGCCAACCAATTATCAGACGATTGTGTTTCAGTTCTTTTAGCCTCAACGAAGAGGACTTTTACTGGTGGCTTTGTTTAGAAGAATTAAGCAAACAACGATTTAAATGAAGAACAATTGTAACATTTCATTAAGTAAAACTAAAAGACTTACAATAATCCGATTCAGCCTCGTAGAAGTTTATAGTAACAAACTACTTGAAACTACTCCTATGAACGAAGTGCAGTGCAGGAATTTAAAGTACAAAAATGTAAAGAAATGTAAAAACTAGAAGGAAAATAAAGTAGATAAAAACTGGTTTCTGAATCTAAGTCTGAAGGCTTCTTTCTGGGGCCTTCTCTGCTATTTATACTTCTCAATAATAACCGTCGAAATGAGTTTCTAACCGTCGAATCATCCCTCCATGATCGTTGATCATGTTTTCTCACAGTTAGCTCCACTACGCCATGTCTGCAGTTAGGCTTCCCTCCTGATTTTGAATTTAAATATATGAGTAACTGTTAAAACCACGTCATCTTGTATCTCTTTGCTGATCCAATGTTATGCAGATTCACAATAACCAATACTGACTACCACGTGTGTGATTACGATTGAAGATTTGAATTGTCTTCCCGTATTGCCCTCATCCTGTCACGTGTTGAACTGTAATTGGCCTGTACAAAATATGTAGCCAACAGCCGTACAAATTGTTTGGAGTGCTACTACAATTTGTGAAGATCACTGTATCCTAGGAGATAGATACCATTTTTCCGTAAGCATCGTAACGGGATGAATCTGTCTTAAGGACATAGTGTTACACATTCGACTTGGTCTTTTAAATATTTATTCGGTTTGGTAAAATAAATTCTGTAAGCAATTTATTTGATTTGTTTCAACTTATTTATTTTACACAAAAAATTATTCTAATATACCATCCCTAAAATAGATATATTTGTATGATTTTCATAATTAAATAAATCTACATATATGAATTTGTTGACGACGGTTAAAAAGTCATACGGTAATTAATCCTTCCACATTAAAGTTACATGTGTTTTCAAAGTGAAAAACTTGTTAGTAATATGCCAAAAAAGGTAAAATAAAATAAAAATTGAACAAAAATAATCAAATAAAAAATAATTAAAAAAATAAAAAAACTACTAGGATCCACATATTCTAGATCAATGCGATGAAGTTTGTGGAAACAAATTCCCAATGCTACGTGACTACATTTGAATTTAGACACTACTACAGATGATATTTCATATTACAAAACACTAATTACATTCAGTTTGTTTGATTTCATTTTTTTAAAACTATTTTTCAAAAAATTTTACTTTTTTTTTCGTGTTTTTTTGCTTTTATTGAATTTTTTAAATATTTTAAGTAATTTTTTTTACTTTTTAGACATACCTAACATAAATAAACCTAAAAAGTAAAAAAATTGTAAAAAAAATCTTTAAAAAATTCACTAAATATCGAAAATACAAGAATTCAGTACATTTTTATATTTTTATGTATTTATTAATTTTTTAAAATATTTTTTTCACAAATTTTTTACTTTTTAGATACATCTAAGTAAGATGCATCTAAAAAAGTAAAAAAAATATTTAAAATTTTAAAAATATTCACTAAAAACAAAAAAACATGAAAACCAAAATACTCAATTTTCAAAAAATTTAATCCAAAAAATTCAAATCAAACACACTGATTATTACTTTAAGAATTCTACAATATATTAGTATTGGTGCAAATAAATAAAAGGTGAAGCCATCAATTAATATATTTATTGTAATGTCACATGAAATGATATTCAAATATGATATTATATTGTGTTTGGTTGTACCTTAGACAATATAAATAAATGAAATTTTGTTATAACTTGTTATAAGGATGTACATAGTATGGTTGAAGCAGTTTGAGAGTAAAATTATAAATTAAATTGTGGTTTAACGGATTGACAAATTATGATTTGAGTAGTTTTGGATGAATTTCTAACCAATTATCAAGTCGTTGCACAATATATAACACTAATTTACATAATATTTTACATATGTATAACACAAACTAATTTTATATAATATTTTTCATATATATAACTATTAATTTGTAATAATTTCACATCTTAAATATCTCTCACACTAATTTTTACTTTAATATTTTATTATAGGTTAAAATGTATATATATTAATTATAGTGGAGCAGAGTAGTTTTAAAGGCAAATTATAAATTTTAAAGTTTAAATCGCAGTAAGAGAATAGAGTGGTGTGGATTGATGCGAATCAGTACGATTTTAACAGATTAGATTATATTTTACACAATCCTATTATTACTAATAAGAAGTTTAATAAAATTTTTACGTTGAGATGTGTGAAATATTTTAAAGTTACGCCGTTGAGTGGTTCCCAAACGAAAAATGTTTGGGGGCCCTAATTCTGTGGCTCAAATGTGGCTCAAATGGCCAAAACGACGTCGTTTTGGCCATTTGAGCCACATTTGAGCCACAGAATTAGGGCCCCCAAACATTTTTCGTTTGGGAACCACTCAACGGCGTAACTTTAAATATTTGCTCCCCGTACAATATGTTAAAATGTATATATATTAATTATAGTGGAGCAGAGTAGTTTTAAAGGCATATTATAAATTTTAAAGTTTAAATCACAGTAAGAGAATAGAGTGGTGTGGATTAATGCAAATCAGTACGATTTTAACAGATTAGATTATATTTTACACAATCCTACTTATTACTAATAAGAAGTTTAATAAAATTTTTACTGTTGAGATGTGTGAAATATTTTAAGGTTACGCCGTTGAGTGGTTCCCAAACGACACGTATAATTACTACTATGAAAATTATAAAGTTCTTCCAATAGGTAATAAAAACGTGTTTGAAATTATACCCTTTTAAATTAATAAAAAAATATGTTTAAACTATGTTTTATTATGGGGATATTATTTTTTTATTTTGATAAAAATACTTAAAGCAAAACATGGTTATTATTTTATTTTGATAAAAATACTTAAAAACGTGTTTGAAAGTATGTTTGCTGAATATGGTTTACGTAAAGTAAAAAATAAGGCCAAGTTTAGGGACTTTAAAAAAAGTCAAAAAGCTAAAAAGTTATTCAAAAAGGTAAAAAGTTAACACTATTCACCAAAAGTCAACAATTACGGCTGCACAACTCCCAATTCATTCTATTTACAGACACCCCCTTCCTCTTTTTACACATCTTTCTTAATTCACACACCCAAAAAAAAAAAAAAAAAATTTACTCAACACACACAATACACACACTCCCAATCCACACACCTTCTTCCACACCCAAGCAACGATCAAACCCAAATCCTAACCCTAACCCTAACCCTAGACAGCAACCACCTTGCCGGCGGCGACGTACCGCGACCCCCCCTCTCTCTCTCTTCTCAGTCGCGAAAAGGAAGGTGACGACGACTCGCAGACGAAAGGGGGTTCGGATGTTGATGGTCGAACCAATGTGTTTTGTTCGGATGGTGATAGTCGAACCAAATTCATTGGTTCGATGGTTGATTTCCGAACGGAGGCGATTCCTTCGACACTGGTAGTCCGAATGGTAAGAAAATGAGGCGATTCCACGATGCCCGACGTGGTGGGGAAGAGAAGCGGGAAGGCAATGGGTTCGCAGATGAAAGGGAGTTGCAGTGGTGGAAGAAGAGGTAACGGCAGTGATGGAGGAAAAGAGAGGCGGCGGCCATGGAGGATGGTGGTGACTGATGGTTAGGGTTAGGGTTAGGGTTAGGGTTAGGGTTAGGTTTTTGGACTAAAAGAGACGGGTTGGGAGAGAAGAGGAAGGTTATTTTGGTAGTTTCATTTTAGGATTGAAATCTAATAAAAAAAAATTCATTAAATGTACGTAAAAAGAGTAAATGGTGTGGGCAAATAACGGCTCCCCATGATACTACTTCTATGTCCAGATAATTTCAGTTGTACCCTCTAAACCATCAAAATTACCACATTACCCCTCAACCCAACCCAACCCAACCTAGTTTCAAAGCAAAACAGTAGAACCTCCAAAACCCTAGTTGCTCACTTCACTGAAACCCCCTACTCTCTCTCCCTCCCCATGAAATCTCTGTGCTAGACAGACCAATAATCAATGGCGTCAATGGCGATACTAACAAGATCACGAACGTTCCTCAAATCCATAAACCACGACTCATTCAAATCGATAACAACCTTCGCATTTCTCTCTCAGGAGCCCCAACTTGCCGAAGCACCACCAGCACCAGCACCGCCGTCTGCGGCGGCGACACCACTGCCTCCGAACCCGGCCTCAGGCAGTCCACTCTACAACGAGAACTGGCGGAATCCAATCGCGAGCTCGACTGGTCTGGCTCAGTCCCTTATACCGCTAGGGTTCTTGAACCAGACGCAATCGACTCGCATCCAAGCCCTCTCGCAAACCCTAGATGTTCCGTCGCTCTTGAATGTGTTCGCGGATTGGATGACTTCGCAGCGGTGGGCTGATATGAAGCAGCTGTTCGAGTTCTGGATCAGATCGCTTGATAAGAATGGGAAGCCTAACAAGCCTGATGTGAATTTGTATAATCAATATCTTAGGGCTAATGTTATGATGGGAGCTTCGGCTGGGGAGTTGTTGGATCTGGTGGCCCAAATGGAGGACTATTCGATTACGCCCAATACTGCTTCGTTTAATTTAGTGTTGAAGGCGATGTATCAGGCAAGAGAGACCGAGGCCGCCGAGAAGTTGCTTGAACGGTAAGCTTCAATGATCATAGCCGATTTTGGATGGTAATGTATTCGATACTTTAGTTAGTTTGGTGAGCTTTATGAGCTTCCTGAATTTGATTTTTCAATGAAAAATAGGGTTTTTAAAAATTAAGCTTGGCCTTTATGTACTTTGACTTGCAGTGGTGTGAAACCTTGAATTTGCTCCTAGAGAAATGGTTTCCAATTGCCTTGCATTTGCAGGATAATAATGTAAGGTTACCCCAACCATGGAGAACCTCAAGTGAGATAATTAGAAGAACTCATCAAAAAAATGCAAGTACCTCAAATTAAAAGATTAGGCTTAGTCCATTCAAGCAAAGGTAATAAGAAAATATTACAGAGGTCAATTCAAGTTTAGTGTGCAAAAAGTGTCACCAAAGTGATAAAATGTTGCTATTAAAATTGAACAATGACTGTAAGAAAGAAGGAAGGAAGCATGGTTTGGACTTTAAGATCTCAGGATTTAATTAGGTGGGTAAATTTTAAAAAGAAAAGAAAAGAAAATGTGAATGTATTTAGTATTTTTATAGTTTGGTGCTTTTGGTCTAAAAAGGATTGACAAAAAGAGAAGAAGAAGTATGGAGAGTTAGGGATTGGGTTGAGTTGGGTGACATGAAGAGATGCTGAATAAGGACCGTCTGATCTCACAAATAATGTATCTTGAAAGTCGCAACAAGCCTCATCAAGAAGTGTCAAAACTCCAATCACCACAAGAATAAAGGAACAAATTGAAAAAGAAAAGAAGAGAACTTGAGATGAGAAGAAGGAGAAGCAGCCATGACAGTGGAACCATGGAAGAGAGAGAGCAACCACCATATGGTTTATCAATCAACCTAAAAGAAACGCCTTCTGTGTATATCATACATAGGTATTTACTAATGAAAAACGTATGACACTTAGTCCTTGCATATTTGCATGAACCCATATGTATAATATCATATCCAGCCATGTGTAGCATGGGACCACTAAAGTGAGAGTGGACATGGACCTTAAGTATAGCTTGGCAACAGCCTCTCTTACTGGGGTTCACAAATCTGCTCCAGAACTGTGACCCCGTGATTCAGAGTAAAAATTGAGTTGGAACAATGTTCCCAATTGGGATGGAACCTCTTGAATATGTGAATCCCAAATAAATAGAAGACATCAATCAAGAGAAAATCTTTGCATCCATCAGATTATAGGAAAATTAACTGAAATTTGTTCTAGTACTTCGTAGTAGTCACATAATAGTTATTTATATTTGCAGAGAAAAAAAAGTTTGCAGTTGACACCAATCTCTAGTACTTATTCATATTTTAATGTATATATTACAACTAAAACCAAAGAAAATATCCTGACAATATATTATATATATATGTAATATATGAATACTTCTATAAGTACTCCCAACCTTAGATTCTTCTATGTATCCTCGCTCTTGTGCTCCCACCCCACCCCTGCTTCTGCTTTTGTTTGTGCAACTCAGTATATAAACACCCCTACACTAAGTGCAACAATAGAGAATAGAATAAAAATACCCAGTTGTGCAAAATAAGTAAAATTAGATAGAAGAAAACAAACAAATCATAATAATACAAGCTACATCTGATAATCATTTTCAAAAATACATATATATGTTAAATAAGTCTAAACTCTAAACTATGGTGCTAGGATATTTGAAAATCAATTTGGTTTCACTATTGGTAGAATAATTATTGAAGCAATTTGAGTATTGAGGTGATTGACGAAAAGGATTAGAAAATAATGGATTTTTGTTTTTATTTATTTGCCATTATTATTATTTTTTTGGTTTTGTGGGGTAGTGGTGCTTGGGATGACACTTATGAGTTTTTTACACGCTATAATCTTGTAGTTGTACATGTTTTAGTAAGAACAGGATATTATTTGTATGACAGGATTCTAACTTACTAGTGAGCCAGATCAAAAAAAAAAAAAATTTACTACTGAGCGGTGAAACTTTAGTGAATTTTTCAACTAGAATAGGCTTTTGCCTAGGGTTGTATTGTTTTGACTGGCTTGGTCAGGAATATAATTTTAGGTGAAAATGAAATAATGAAACTATGTCAAAGATCAGTGGTCAAGACTATAGTGGGATCCTGGAGTAAGCACACTGTGTATTCAACTGATGATCTATGAGGGGGATGTTGGAGGGAAAGGCAAAATGAAGAATGGAACTTCTTTTAGGTTATTCGACATCTGCAACTTGTCAAATAAAAATAGTCTAAATAGATATATGATATATCTGAAGATGGAGATGCATCGAACTGTATTCTGTTAAGGCAGTCAAGAAATGGCTACCAAATGGGAGCCATATGGAGAGAATACAACGATAATTGACAAGACCTGACATTCGAAAGTATAAAGTTAGAAATGTGTAGTTTCATGAGAAGTTACCTAGTGCTTCGATTTTAAGCTACATCCTTGCCTTTTTCTTTTTTGAATTCCTAGTTGTGACTTTAGCTGGAGTGGTCATCATGTCTATCATGCTCTTCTTTCACAAATTGGCCCCTTTCCTTGTTGAACCCCTTAAGTTACCACTGACCATTATGTTTGTTAGAATATATAGTAAATGTTATTTTTTGTGTTGAGTGAGGGTACTATGGTCATATTGTATTCTATATATTTGCTGATGTTTTAGGTTTATAAAAAGAACCAAGAAACATACGTTTAATAAGATGTACTGTCTTTTCTTTGTTCCGTCTCTCTTTCTCTCTAGCCCTAATCAAGTTTTGCATACTTTTACACTTCAACTTGGTATCAAAGTTTTGATTCAACCTTATCAAAGTGTTCTTCAGTCACTCACTATTCCTTTAAGTTGACAACGATGTGCTGACGTCATCTTCCATATGATGACGTCAGCATGACGTCACACACTGTACAGACGAAGTGATCCATTCTTGGTTGTCTTCCTCTTCTGATCTCAATGGTGATTTTTGTGGATTTTTTTTGAAACCATCTGATGTGAGTTTTCTATTTTAGCAAGATTTTCGAACTAATGGTGTCATATTTCTGATTTGCGATAAAGCTCCTTACTCAGAGTTATTTGCTTGTTGAAACCTCTTCCTTGGGAGCCGAAATAGCCCTAGGACATCTTTGAGATTGTTTTTGCTTCGTGTTGTTGCTGGGTCAATTTTTGACGATATCTGGTGGATTTGCGTTGTTCGGCACCTTTGTTTTGGCCTTGGTTAATCATTTTGGCTCTTCCTTTGGGCTGGTTGGCTGCTTGCTGGTTACTGTTGGTTGGTAATTTCCTTACTCCACTCTGTTCTTGTTGGTTGATTGTCCTTGTGTTTTGTTTTTTTCCTTTTGCATCTGCTGGTGGTTCTCCTTCTCATGGTTGAGCCAAAACATGATGTTAAATCTTCCATAACTAAGGATGATGAGTTCCCAAGTCTATTACCACTAAGAAATTGAATGGTCTGAATTATCTAGCTTAGGCTTATGCTGTTAAGATTTCTTGCGTGGGAAGAAGAAGTCGTGTTTTCTTACTAACCTTCCACCTGCTGAGGATGATAAAGGTTATGATGATTGGTTGAGTGAAGATTCTTGTGTTATAAAATGGCTTTGGCATAGTTTGGAGCCTAATGTTGCTACTACCGTTGAATTTTGTGACACCTCTAAGGCCATTTGGGACTCCTTTGCTGAGTCATTTTCTAATAAGAGTAATGTCTATTGAGTTTATGAGTTATATGAACGGATTTTTGCTACCTGCCAGTTTGGTCGTTCTCTTCCTGACTATTATAGTGGCCTGAAGACTTTGCGGGATCAATTATTGTAGCTCCGACCTTTTACTACTGATTTGGCTCAACAAAAGAAGTATTGGGAGGAGTTTATGATTGTATCCTTACTTATGGGCATAGATTCTGATCTACGGGGTTCCAAAGATCAGATTCTCGCCAGTAAGACTTTACCTTCTACTGCTAATGCCTATTCTTGATTGTTGTGTTCTTCTTTGGGATAGGTTTCTTTCACATCTGGTTCCTCTCAGCCCTTGTCCTTTTCTGCCTTGATCTCTAGCAGTAGTGATTGAGGGCCTCATCGAGGTAATTTTCCTGGCAGCATTAGTTCTCGTGGATCCCATACTGGTTCCCGTGGTTCTCGTGGTGGTTGTTATTCTCATGGTTTTCGTGGTGGTTGTGGACGTGGTATTGGTGCTTTATCTCGTGGTGATCAGAAATGTGCTCATTGTTGTGTCTTGGGTCATTTTGAACCTTGGTGTTGGCAGAAGTATGGTAAACCTGATTATGTGTATTAGGTTATGGATGTTCCATCCTCTTAGTCGACTTCAGTTCCCTTTGGACCAGGTGCTTCCCCAGTTGATTCTCATGATGCACTCACCACCCAGATTAGCGAGCTTACTGAGATAGTATATTCTCTTTGTAGTACTTTTCCTTCATCTTTTACTGCTACATTAACTAGCTCAGGTAAAATTGCATGTATGGCTTAATCCCCTCAACGTTGGTTTTTAGATTTCGGCGCTAATTCTAATATTTTTGGTAATTCCTCTATGTTTCATACTTTTCGTCCTATTACCCGTAATATTTTACTCGCTAATGGATCCTCTTGACCTGTCCGTGGCCAGGGCACTCTTCAGCCCACTCCATCTCTCTCCTTACCCTCTAGTCTCTATGTCCCGTCCTTTCCTTTTAATTTGCTTTATGTTAGTCAATTAACTAAAGTTCTACAATGTTCTGTAACCCTTTCTCTCTCTTCTTGTGTTTTACAGGACCTCCAGACCAAGAAGATGATTGGTTTGGGGCATGAGAAGGATGACTTATATTTTTTTGACACTGCTGGTTCTCCTTCTTCTGGTTCTGCTGTTTTGAGTGCTACCGTGTCTCCCTTGCAATGGCATTTCCGTCTGGGTCATTTATCCTTAGCCAAGCTTAAGTTAGCTATTGCGGGTTTAAGCCATTTGTCTCAACTTGAATGTGAAGCATGTCAACTTAGCAAGCATCACCGTAGTTCTTTCTCTAGTTGTAGTATTAGTCGTGTGTCAGTGTCTTTTGATTTAGTCCATGCCAACATATGGGGTCCCTCTCGCACTCCTACTATTAATGGCTTTTTTTTTTGTTATTTTTGTGGATGATTATTCTCGGATGACTTGGTTGTTTTTATTACGGCAGCGTTCTGACTTGCTCCAAATAATTTCTAAGCTTTATAATGAAATTTTTACTTAGTTTGGAAAACACATTAAGATATTTCGGTCTGATAATGCCTTAGAATATGTGCAATCTATTATGAATGATTTTTGTGATGCTTCTGGTATTATCCATCAAGCTAGTTGTGCTCATTCATCGCAGCAAAATGGTTTTGCTGAGCGGAAACACTGACATTTGCTAGATGTTGCTTGGACCTTAATGTTTAACATGCATGTTCCTAAACAATTTTGGGGTGATGCTGTGTTGACTACATGTTTCCTTTTTAAACCGTATGCCCTCCGTTGTTTTACGTAATCAGTCTCCTTTCTCTTAATTATACCCCAATTGTTCTCCGTTTCCTCTTCTTCCTCATGTTTTTGGTTGTGGCCTTTGTCCATGTCATTGATCCGAGGTTGGATAAATTATCTCCCCGTGCTCACAAATGTATATTTGTCGGCTATTTCCATACACAAAAAGGTTATTGGTGTTATCATCCCGAGTCTTGTCGGTTCTTTATTAGTGCCGATGTTACCTTTTTTGAGTCCACATCTTTTTTCTCCTCATTTGGTCAGCAGTTGTTAGCGGATCTTATCTCTTATCGTGAGGGAAAGACATCCGTTCCAACTTTTACTCTTTCGATGCCCTTTGTTCCCCCGTCATCTTTCTTTGGTTTGGATTCTTCTCCGTCATCTCCTTTACAGGTTTATCAGTGTTCCCAAGCCTGTCGCGTGGTTTGTTATGGCCTGGCTATTTCATCTTCTGTGTTTAAGGTTCCTGCCCCTTCTCTAACTATGCCATCTGGTGATGATTTACCTATTGCATTGCACCGAGATAAACATACTTGCACTCAGCATCTTATTTCTAATTTTGTTTCTTTTGCTCGCCTTTCCCTAGTTTTCACTTCTTTGCATATAACTTGTCTTGTCTTTCTATTCCATCTTCTTATCAGCAAGCTATGTCGATGTCTGGTTGGAAACATGCTATGGATGAAAAGATGAGTGCTCTTCATCAGAATTAGGCTTGGAAACTTGCACCTCTTCCTTCGGGGAAACCTATTGTTAGCTATCGTTGGATTTCTACTGTTAAGTATCTTCCTGATGGTATTGTTGAGCGGCTTAAAGCCCGTATCGTGGCCAAAGGTTATACTCAAACCTATGGCGTTGATTATCTAGAGACCTTTTCCCCTATAGCTCGCCTGAATTTTGTTTGGATTCTCCTCTCTGTTGTCGTTAGTCAGTCTTGGCCTTTATATTAGCTTAACATAAAGAATGCCTTTCTTCATAGCGATCTCAACGAGGAGGTCTATATGGATTAGCCCTTGGCTATGTTGTTCCTGGTCATGAGCATATGGTTTGTCGGTTATGGAAGGCTTTGTATGGTCTCAAACAATCTCATCATGCTTGGTTTGATCGTTTCAGTACCGTTGTGCTTGCAAATGGGTTCCGCCGTTCCACTTCTAATCACTCTGTTTTTGTTCGCCACTTATCTACTGGGGTTATTTTTCTCATTGTTTATGTGGATGACATCATCATCTCTGGCAGTGACTCTGCCGGTATTGTTGATCTAAAGCTTTATTTGGGTAAGCAATTTCACACAAAGGACTTGGGTAATATGCGGTATTTTATTAAGCTTGAGATTGAGATTACTCGCTCCTCTTGGGGTTTGTTTCTTTCTCAACGTAAGTATGTTCTTGATCTTCTTGCTGAAACTGGTCTTTCTGGGCACTCATCCCAATGATATTCCTATGGACTCCTCGGTTAAACTTGATGGTGAGACTGGAGAGCTATTTTCTTAAATTGGTCAGTATCATCGTTTAGTTGGGAAGTTTATTTATCTTACCGTTGCTTGTCCGGATGTCAATTATGCCCGGAGTGTTGTTAGCCAATTTATACATGTTCCTTGTGAACCCCATTTTGATGCTGTGTGGAATCTTGCGTTATTTCAAACGTGCTCCAGGTCGCGGTTTACTTTATTGTCCTTTTTCCTTGACTGTCATTGGCTTTAGTGATACTGATTGGGCGGCAATCGGATTGACCGTCATTCAACATCTGGATGTTGCACCTTTGTTGGAGGTAACATTGTTACTTGGTGTAGCAAGAAATAGCCAGTTGTTGCTGGTTCAAGTGCTAAGGTTGAGTATCGTGCTATGGCGCATACTGCTCTGAGATGTTATGGGTTTATTATGTTCTGCATTATTTTGGTATTTGTGTTCCTACTCCTATGAGCATGAACGGTGATAATCAAGTTGCTATTTTCATTGCCAATAACCCCGTGTTTCATGAGTGTACAAAGCATATTGAAGTTGACTGTCATTTTATACGGGATTTGTTATTGTGTTAGCAACTTGTGACACTATATGTTTGCTCTGATGATCAATTGGGTGATATCTTCACCAAACCACTTGATCGTTCTTCGTTTTAGCTTCTCTCTGCCAAGTTGGGCATGCTCGATCTCTATGCTCCAACTTGAGAGGGAGTGTTAGAATATATAGTATATGTTATTTTTTGTGTTAAGTGAGGGTACTATGGTCATATTGTATTCTATACATTTCCTGATGTTTTAGGTTTATAAAAGGAACCAAGAAACATACGTTGAATAAGATATACAGTCTTCTCTATGTTCCTTATCTCTTTCTCTCTAGCCCTAATCAAATTTTTGCAAACTTTTACACTTCAACTGTGTCTATTCAATATCTATGCTGTTATTCTGGTCACAGCAGTATAAACCTCTTTTTAAGTGTGGATACTTTTGTCTACAAAATCAGGACTTGAAGCTCAGATTAAGTCCATGTGATCAGATGTCTGCAAAACTAAACTGAACTTGGTGCAAATCACAGAAATTGAAACCCTTCAACTATTGCCTTCCATCACTCACTCCCTAATAGGCTCTCTGCCCTATGCTTTTGGGGGGCTAGGGGCAGATAGCTAATGGAGAGTTCTCATATTGTTTGGAGTATTACAGCAATGTTACAGCCACGGAAGTAGGTAACTATCATTTATGTTGTGAACTTAGATACAAGTTTTGGGCACATGATTTGTCTACTTGTTAAATTTGCCTTTCCTCATCCTTAAATTTCAGAAGTTATTGTAGTTGAGCTATCAATGCATCCAATTTTTCTTTGAACACCTAGGCGCTATGTTACATATTTCCTCTTAGGAGGGTGAGTATGGAAGAGGCAGTTTGTTCCCCATTTGGCATTTTCTTGATTTGTATAAACCTCCGATGGCTGTCTATATTAGTACTGAAGGTTTTCTCCTACTCCTATGCTGGGAACCAATATCCTTTTCCGTTCATACATTTACTATCTGATGGATGTATGTTTACTTTGTTGTCATCAGGATGCTGCAGACTGGTAAAGAATCTCTGCCTGATGATGAGTCATATGACTTGGTTATTGGCATGCTGTTATTGACAGACCAGATTGACGCTGCCCTAAAATATATAGATTTGACTTTAAAATCTGGGTATATCCTATCAGTGAATGTGTTTACCGAATGTGTGCGAAGCTGTGTTAACAAGGGGAGGCTGGATACATTGGTTTCGATTATTGAGAGGTGCAAGGTATACACATCTTCTTTTAGTTAATTGTTAAATCTTCTATCGTAGTTGGTGCATTTTCTAAATACATGACATTTTGGGCATTATCAGAAAATGGATCAGAACAAAGCCCTCTGTCCACCCTGGAACCTGTGCAACTATATTGCAGATGTTGCAATGGAAGAGGATAGTAGTGAGTTAGCTTATTATGCCCTGGAATTCATGGCCAAATGGATTGCACGAGGTGAGAATGCAAGGCCACCTGTTCTGCTCTCTGTAGATGAAGGACTAGTCGTGTCTGCACTAGGAACTGCTGGCAGGACGTACAATGCTAAACTCCTTGATGGATCATGGGCAATCCTTAAGCGTTCGTTGCGCCAAAAGAAGGTTCCAAACCCGGAATCTTACCTCGCTAAGATATATGCCCATGCTTCCTTGGGGAATCTACAGAAGGCCTTTAGTACTCTGCATGAGTTTGAGACTGCTTGTGGAAATTCTACTAAGGAAGCTGAAGAGGATCTACTGTCTCCATTTACCTCTTTGTATCCACTGGTTATGGCATGCTCCAAGGATGGCTTTGTGACTTTAGATTCAGTACGTCTTTTATTCCTCAAACACCATATAACTTCGTGTATACTGACTCATCTTTTGAGTTTCTATATTGTTGCAATGTCCTGTTTTGTTGATTCAGCATTTCTCGTATTACCTCTTGAATTTGTTTCAAAGTGATGCTAAAAGTAAATTGATCAGTGTTCATTTTATTTGTTCTTTTGTTGTTCATTTGATTAATCTAAAGAGATTTTGAAATGCACAAAGCCTCTCTATGCCCTTTCCTGCCTTCTTTTTATTCTTCTTTTGCATGTGGAAAACAAGAACCAAACAATATTTACTAGTTTTTTGAAGAATGGATACAACACATGTTGCTAAGAAATAGTCGAAAAATTGCCTACCGTATACATGAGCACTGGTATGTATAAATCATATACCATTTTAATTTTAATTTCTTTTCTTTGCTTTTCTTTTTGTGTGCACGCATTTTGTATTGTGTTATTCAACGAGATGAGATGACTGTTTCAGACCTTGGGAATGATAGTGTTTCTGTTGTTTTCTTGTGTTGTTGCTTGGTTATGCAACTTTACTATTATTTAAATTTTTTTTTAGCTTGTCATGGATTGCACTGTTGAAATGTTACTCAGGTCTACTATCAACTGGAGAATTTGAGCCAAGCTGATCCTCCTTACAAATCTGTTGCTGCACTAAATTGTATAATTTTAGGTTGTGCAAATACATGGGATGTTGATCGGGCCTACCAGACTTTTGAAGCAATTGGTGGCGCATTTGGGTTGATCCCCAACATCCATTCATACAATGCTCTGATGTGTGCGTTTGTAAAGCTCAACAAGGTGGACACCTATTCCCCCCTGCCCACACACATGCACACACGCACACACGCACTCACACAGAAAACAATGGAAGAAAACCTTCTTCCAAACATGCCTTATAAACTAGGTGTTTGATATGACGACCTTTTTTAGCACTAGTGATGGTCTTTTTTCTGTGGCAGACATCTGAAGCTTCGAGTGTGTTTGACCACTTAATAAGTAAGGGCGTGAAACCAAACTCGACAACGTACTCTCTGCTTGTCAACGCTCACCTGATTAAGCGAGACCAAAAAGCTGCTCTCTCTGTTATCAATGAGATGGTAACTGTGTTCTTCCCGTGTTTTTAGATAGCTGGCTTTAGTTTCTGCATAGTCAACTGGTTTATGCAACCAAGCTAATATATTGTGTGACAACCTTATGGGCAGGTAAATTCAGGATTTGAACCATCAAGGGAAATGCTGAAAAAGGTCAGAAGGCGATGTATACGAGAGATGGACTACGAGAGTGATGACCAGGTCGAGTCCCTGGCTAGAAAGTACAAAATCGGAATGGGTTTCGAGAATCGCCGGGACTTGCTGTTTAATCTCGAGTACAGCACTGCTTACACATGATAGGTAACTTCTGATACACAGGAGGAAATACATGCGTCATTTAAAATGATTTCAAATTCAAGCTTTATTTGGTCTGTTTGGAAACCATAGCGAAGGAATTTTATTATCAACCATCATTTTCTTCATTTATGCTCCATTTGTTTAGCTTGATTTTGGTGTCTGTCTGGAAACATAGCAAAGGAATTTGATTATCAACCATCATTTAATTACATTTACACTCCATTTGCTTGGGCAAAAAACTTTTTCCACATTTTTTGGCACTTGGTATGATGTAAAACAAAAGTCAACGGAAAGTAAGCTTATTTTGACGGAAAATGTTATCCAGTTTTGAGTGGTGGAAAATGTTTTCCGGACTGAAGTCTTAGCACTTGCACCGCCACAACCACCCCAACCTCCACCCTGCCATGATCACCACCATGACGACCTACACACCCCCCCGCCCCCACCTTGTCACCACCGCCGCCACCCAACCACCACCTCCACTAGCACATTTCAAAGTGGCAACCAAACATCAGACAATGTTTTCTGTCGAAACAGTGTTCTGTTCAAAAGATGCATTACTAAATAGTGGATACATAAACCTTTTAATTTTGTCAGTAGGTCTCATTTGAATGATTCCATCTTGATGTAGAAGTTTAGATGGTTCTGATGAGGCCTTTTTGCTAGTCGTTGCAGCTCAGGTGACTTGCACTGGGGCATCTCAGCACTGGCGAAATCTGGTTTGCCAATTTCTCTAATTCTTTCTTCCTATCTAGTCATTTGGTGGACATTCACCCCTGTTTGTAAATTATCAGACTGCCCAATTTTGAGCACTGGCACGACGAACATTAGGATCGCATGCCTCTTCTGTGGCCAAATAGTTGTTTTTTTTATCTTCTTTTTTGGGGTTCTTTATCGTGAGGCAGTCAAAATCGAAGCTAGATTTTTGAATGTCGTTAAATAATTGTTGGATCATCTAGATAATCGAAGATGTTCACTGAGCTATCACCATTGTTAATATTAGTATTGTTTTTGTTTGGGTGGATGTTTTATTTTGCTATATATTGTGGATTTTATGTTTATGAGTTCATAAATGCTGATTGATGGCTGGAAAAATATATGAAAACAATACCTAAAAGGAAAGGAAAGGTACTCCAGCTTCAAGAAGATTAATGTTTTACTAGACTTATTTATGAAAAGCAATAGCAAGTTTTGTATAGTCCTTAGATTGAAGTATTTGAAGAACATCTGTATCAGAAGATCCTACTGTGATGTAATATGTTGGATTTTAGTATTTGAGAATGGCACTAACAACATGAAATTGATTGTCTTTTGCATTTTTATGCTGCATATTAGCTTGGTGTCTTTGTTGCTTACTGAGTTTAAGCTTATGTTGACCAAGCCATGTATAGATAGTTTTTATGAGTTGCCAAGAATATGAAGATAGCCATTGCATTATGGAACTGGCTTCTCTTCAGTTCAGTCGTGTTGGGCCTGTAAAACTCACTACGGATCTCAATTTGGTGATTTGAGTAATTCAACATGTAGTAAAACTCACAACGAATCTCAGATTGGTGATTTGAGTAATTCATCTTGTAGTACATGTGTATAAATCACTTATGAAAAAAAAATCAATTTAACTTGTGAAATAGTAGTCACAATTTTATCAAATTTGTTATGTATATGATTTTGCAATATACTTTGAAAGTTTTTGAAAACAAATATGTGGAATTATGTTGTCACAATAACTAAATCAATTTGATTTAATGTTTTCACTGAAGTAGGACAGGATACCACAAATCCAACACGATCACACGAAAATCCTCTTCAACTAGAGAGAAGCCAGATCTTTACATTATATAGCAGCAATTTTTGAAGACCATAGGGTCCGGCAAATCTGATACTGGTACTCATTCGTTTTAGCTCATTGGATTAAAATATGCTTGGTACATGCATAGCAAGGTTTGCATCTATAGATGAGAACCAATATAAAATTTTGTTCATGCAGTTGTTTCCGTGTCTTTAAGCTAAGTGTAATTAGTTTGACTTTATCTTGGTCCCTAGTCAGCATACGGATTGCCAAAATACCCTTTCTCCAAAATGTTGGCAAACATAATATGTCTAATGCATTGTGTTAATAATTTTGGTTGTTCAATGGTGCAAACTCATTAGGCAACTGTGGGATTTTATACAGTTTCCACTAGTACAAGACTCCCAAATTTTTTTTTCCCAAAATTTGGAATAACTTTCATAAACTTGATCAGGCAATCTTTTTAGTACTGAAACATTCTCTGAACTTGATGAAGTTAGACCATGTACTTCGAAGGAGGCACTAACTCTGAAGAAATCCAATCCTCGGATCTGTATTCAACATTTTTCAAAAATATTTATTATCCCCATCAATAAATGCAGGGGTTCTGCATTGTCAGTTGATTTTCAACGGTAGACCTCTATCATGCAGGAGGAGATTGAGCAGCAGCCTTCTGAAATGGAGAAAATTTGTGAGTCCATTTGCCAAAATGGAGCTGAATAAATATACGAATAAAAATAATAAAATAAGGGAGGGGGTTACTGGTTGATTTGAACTTGCTTTTTTGAATATATAAAGTAATTGACTAATTTGAACTTGGTTTTTAATCGTAGTTGTATAATGATGCATAACAGAGTAGCTTCTACAAACACAAGTAATGCATGAGTAAAAGACATAGGTATCCTCCTCGTACTATCCTTTGCTAAACGAAAAAAGTTCTTTTCGCAAAAAAAAACAAACAAAAAAAAGTATCGCATGAATAATGACTTTGATTAAACACGAAACTACCGTTTAACTGACAAGTGATGAGGTTTAACTGACAACAGATAATAAAATTTTACCCGTTTCTTCTCTTCCATGTTTGCCTTAATTAGGGAGTAGATGGCAACGCCTACAATAGCGATTACAGTACCGATCCCAGTCTGTGTGGAGATCCTATTACCTGCCAGACACAACAATTCAGAATCAAGAACATAAAGTTTGAAAATGTAAATAGAACCTGAATATGTCGTAGAAAGCCTTTTCTCCACTGATTTTGTTTGTGTGTTTTTGTTTTAACACATGTTGTAGTTAAAGCTTACGAGGACAAGTATTAAGTAATTACCGAATACCACGATAGAGAACCCAATCACAAACACTCGCTTCAACACATTCCCGACTGCATGTGTAAGCGGTGCAACTCGTTCCAGTGTGTTAGTAGCAACCTGTCAATGTAAGGTCCAAAGTTAAAAGATGTTACACTACAATCCTTTATATAAAAAGCTCAATATATGTGTATTTGATCCTCTTGTACATGTTGTGAAAACATAGGTTGAATGCACTCAGAAACATGACAACTCAACATTGAGGCATGTCTCATATTGACGAATATACGAAAGCGACATACCTGGTTGTAAAGATGATAAAACATTCCTATCCAAAACAGATCTGACAAGAATTTTGGAAGACCCACTTTCGCAATTGCATCCGCAAATCCATGTTGCATCAGCTGGGGCCCCTCAATCTGAAAGCACATGTGCACAGACACTAAACCATCGAATGGGTTGATTTTCAAGAAATTCAAACAAACCCCAGTGCCAAAAATTCAAATAACATCTGTGATCAAGCAAACTTACAATTAGTGCTGGTGGGATGCAAACCAGGAGAGCTATTATTGAGATATAAGCATACACATTCGTACTGTCCATTCCTGTCTGTTGGGAGTAAAGATTATGTAGATAATATTAAGCAAAATGCAGGAGAGAGAGAGAGAGAGAGAAAGAGTCTGTTGCGAGTAAAGATTATGTAGATAATATTTAGCAAAATGCAGGAGAGAGAGAGAGAGAGAGAGAGAGGTGTGCGTAAATTATCTGCATGAGAATAAAATTGATGCAAGTGTTTTCATATATGAGAGGCCATAGAGCAAAAATACAGCACAAAATTGTATCGGCATCGATCACTGTCAACTAGGACTGTCTCAACCAGTAACTAGAAAAACTTATATCAAATTGTTTAATTACATAAAATTAGGTCAAATAATGCAGCAAGGTTATAATATAGTTTACTTGATAACTAATTAACAACACATGACAGCACACAATTTTTAGGTAAACTCCAAAAGGGGTATTTAGACATTCCGGGGTATCGAATTAGGGCATTTTCTAGATAGAAATTGAGAGTGATGTAGCTATTGTTTGCATATCAGGTAATAAAACCTCGTCACCCTATAGAAAAGAGATTCTCTCATTTATTGGAATCCTTTTATGGCATTAAATCAATTTAGAAGACAAACAGCAGAATCAATTAAAGGGCATCAAATCATAAAGTTTAAGTGATAACTTAAGTTTAAGTGATAACTTGTTTAATAGGTATAGCATTCCGCCATGTGTTCACAAGGGGGCATCATTGTTATCAACTAATTCCCTTCAAAAAAGCCTTATCAATGGCTGCCAAAAAAAAATTAAAATAAAGAAAAGAAAAAGAGCGGTGGGGGGTTGTTAATTGAATCCTCATAAAAACTTGTTTAAAGTAATATACAAGACTTTCAGAATCAACTACAAACAAACAAAATCATAATGCATATGCTCGTATCATTATAAAATTCAGTTGACTGGTATAATTCCCGAGGCATGTCCAAATATTTCATTCTTATGAATCTTGTTTTCAAAATGAGAACTCCAGTACATGGTTTGACTTGCAGCCAAACTCCTCCTAGGTCTGATTTTGATTACCAAAAGAAGTAATGTTGATCCATCAGATTTAAATACATGGCAGATGATGGCTAAGAGTTGTTACATGGACTCAAGTATATGTGTTGGGTGCAAGACCTTTCTAAGTGTAGATTCAACTAATTTTAATATTTTTTATTTCCTAGGGTAAACAGTGTCTTTTATATGACCTAATATGGGCACTTAACTCATGATGAAGCAATCTTTTCAGAAAAGTAACGCAACAATAGATTTTCATCTCATGTATGGTAAACATGAATTGCAGAGATACTGAGTGCATGTCCAACTAGGCACATTGGACACAAATCCTGTACTCTTTTAAGTCTTACACAAGTGTCAACGTGTTCAACACCATTACTTCATGCATGTAGAAAAGTCGAAAGCAACATAAGAGATAATCAAGCATCATTAAAGGTCGAGCAGGGGACCTTAATTGTGTTCTTCCACATTATTCCATCCCATAAAATTCAAACCACAATTTAGAATACTAAGAATAATTACATGTGAAAGACATTACCATTGCTTTCTTTGAATAGATACTCCTGTAAGTGAATGCAATATTTGAAATCATCGCACTAATGAAACCAGTCCAGTTGAAAGAAAGTTCCGTCAGTGATGCCATTGATACACCTAATATAGAATTTGAGAGGATTATCATCAGCAAAAGAATATGTTGGACTCAATTTATTTGATCAAGCTCTTAGATCTTGACATAATCATATAACCGTTTGTAAACAAATTTTATTCAAATGCTGGATAAAAAATCTAATTACATGTACAGATACGTGTGTAATTTATGCTGCTATAGGTTACTTGATTATTTTTATGACAGTATCACTTTTTATTAAAAATAATACACCCAGCAAATCAGGTTTGGAGAAGTGGTAATTTTGATTCAACATGAAGACAAATGAACTAATAGATAGGAACAAAGTTGAACAATTACCAAAAACAACAGGGGCTAATGACAGCCATAAGGGCAAGGGAATCTGGTGGCCCAAAATAAATTGAGAAGCAGCAGCATTGAAGAATGGCTCGAGTGCTGTAGAAGAACATCACAAATGTAATTAGGTTTACAATAATAAGTATAAAACAGGAACATCATAAACTCAGTTTTATGACAACTAAGAGTTAGTCTATTCATCAAATATTTTCCAAGCAGATGTTAAGAGGGAAAAAAAAAAAAAGGCTTAAACACCAGGGTTTACGGAGCCACAAAATACATTTAAACTGAAAATACAAATTGAAATAGCTAGATGCTATCATTCTTAATAGTGTTTATTATTCAATGCAAAAGAGTAATGCGTTTTAGTGCCCATCGGTTTAGAATATCTATATATATATATCCAAGGGCAGGCCTTATTTTACAGAAAACACTTCCATACAAAAGATAATTCATCCACTAGGAAAGATCAGAAGTATCATCTTCAACTACCATTACCTATTACAGCCACAGAAGGGGGTAATACGCACAATAACTCACAGCCTAAATTAATGTCTGATCGATCTTATGTAAATAGGTTGCTCGTCATCAAAAGGACCCAACTCCAGAACATCTATAACCCATCTATTATCATAAAAACTTCTAATTAAAATATGATTTTTATAAGACCATGAGAAGAGACTGATGTGCGTCTGATATGTATATAAATTTGATATAATTAGTGACATAAATCTAGAATATCAAGATACTAGCTTAACATAGCTTCTCTTTGCAGGGGTCCTATACCTTTAATGGTATGTGTAAAAGACACAGCTACGGCTGCAAATGATACATTGGACATGACATGTCCAAGGGCGTGACAGAATGCTACTGGAGTGAGGACTGTCAAGAGTTCTTTGTCGATTGGCTGTGTAGACAGATTAGAAATCAAGTAAATAATGCAAGCCAAAATTTAACATATGAAGAACTAATAAAAAATGCAGAAGATGAAACTCACTGCTCGTTTTGGCAGACCAACAGCCCAACTGACAAGACAATAGACCACACCAACTAGGAGATGTATAACTGAGACAAAGCTGCAAAAGGGGAAAAATGATCTTTTAATTATCACAACGTTTGAGAGCTGCAAAGAGAGCTTAATAACACAATCTAACTTCACTATTTATAAAGCCCTAACTCATTTAGCAAAGGTAACTTACTATGGATATGGAAAATAATTATAAACCTTCTTGTTCAGAATATTGAAAATGACATTTAGGAAGTACCTGCGTAGAACAATAAACTAGATAATCAGCAAATGAATTTCGTATGCAGCAATTAGTGTCAAGAACTATTTACTAAAAAAATTTACAGCCCACACAACAAAGAGAGTAGGGGTAAGAAGGCGAAGTATCGCATTTGCTTCACCTGGAGTTATAAATCAATCACAACACAGAAATAATTCGTTATACTAATGGGGATTAGTGTCTGTATTCACTCACACACATGCCTCAGTGTCCATTTGAACTTCTAGCAATTGCACCAGTAAAATGTATAACAATAACACAGGGGAATAACGTATCAGTGGCAAATGGGGCAGAGCACTACAAATCAGTGGGAATCTTTTTTAATGGAAAAACAATTTACAAATCAATGGGAGAACTTGCACCCAAAAAGATTCCCATTGATTTGTAAGTTGTTTTGGTCTTAAATATTATTTCCCATAATTACTGCAATGCTAATAGACCTTCTTGTAGAGTCCATATTTTTTTATTGGTTTACGATAGACCTTCTTGTATATTATATACTTCACGAATTTCAATTAGCTGCATATTAATTGGCAACATGTTCTTAACAACCAATTCCAATTTGTTCAAGTGATTCCAAAATCATCATCATAACTCAAATTTAGAACCCAGTTGGAAGTTGATCTTAACATGATCTTTTAATTATCAATTTGTCGCTAACATAATAAACCAAACATACATCATAGCTTACCACATAAAGAAAAAGAACCCCGTAATCAGAGCTGGAAATTTCTCGGCAAAGCTCTTTGAAGGCTTAGATAACCTACAATTACAAATATGAATATCAGCTAAACAATAACTAATTTTAAATAAATTTAGAGGATTAACAAGTCCTGACCCATCTGAAATTTCAATTTCACCACCATCTGCATCGGCAGCCGCAGCTTTTGCAACCGGAAATTCAACTGAATGGTGCCGCCTCAACAATTGGCTCCAACCGGGCAACCTTAAAGTCTTCCCGGAAAATTCAACCGGAGAGAACCGATTCTCCGGCAGAGGCGAAAATTCGAGGCGTGAGGCTCTGAAAACAACTGATCGACTCTTGAGTAGAACCAAATTAGGCAAAACCTTACTTGGAGAAGAGTGTAGAGGCGAAAATGGCGATCGGTTGAGTAAAAGCTGAGTTGAACTAGCGATTGAAGCCATAACAAAGGAAAGAAAATAAAACCCAACTCGTGTATCAATCAATGTATTATGCGTATATAATAATTCAATTGGAAGAACTTGAACTGGAATTGATTGTAAGCACACAAACAACCAAAAACATTGTTTGTTTGTTTTTTTGCGGTGAAATCGAGGAATCAAAAGATAAAGCGGAGTTACCAGAGAGAGAGAGAGAGAATAGTTTATAATTATGCACAGAACAACACCAGAGAAAAAAAAAATCAGTGTGAAGAAGTTGAATATGACTGAAACTGAAACTTCAAAGAGTGGAAAATCACATATATAGAGAACAGAGCTTCGATTAGAACACAGTGAAAACACTGAGAACATGTTGCGTATCTTGCCCACACCAGCGGACACTCACAAGCAAAAATACAAGACTTTTAACGTGGTTCGGCAAATCGGTTTACGTCCACGGGAGCGATGTTGTTATATATCAAGAAATGGAGGAGATTACACACTCTCAACTCACTGTCTCTCTATATAACACACTCTCTCACACTCTCGGATACACAAACAGAATATAGCTCTCACTAGCTCTCTCTGTTTTGTGCCTCTCTCTCAGCAGTGTGTTTCTCTCTTGCTTGCTATGTTTGCCGTGTATTCAACTCACCATCACCATTCCATTTTATACACCAAAACAGAAGGTGGAGGAGGCCTCATGGGTGTGTTGGCTGCCAGCCCAATATTCTCCTTTGAGCTGCTGTCCAGTTGAAAGCTTTGTCCCACCATGTGAAGACTTCACATGGCCAACTCCATGCTTTCTCCTTTGTTGCTGGCGCATGGCAAACCTCATGGCTGCCAACTCAAGCCTCATGACTTGCCAACTCATGCTAACCTCTTTTGCCTTCCTTTTACCATGTGGATTGGCCACCCTTCCATGTGGCTGCCAACTCAATTTGGGTTGATCTCCTACAAATCACCCCCTCAACCCATATGAGGTGATCCATAATAGCACCCCCTGCCTGGAGTGCCCGGCACCCCCTCACTGGGGTGCCATGCAAAGCTTACTTTGCAACTCTTTGAGATGGCATCTCTCCCTTCCATTCAGTCTTGGAGAGATCCCAATATGTCTCTAATTCAGGAGCAAAAGAAACTTTCTTCCCTGGGACATGCTTTGCTGTCTTGGTCTCTTTGCTCTGAGCTGTCTTTAAAATTGGCCGCAATGGCTCCGTCTTGTGCACCTCCGAACTGCCTCCATGCGTTCTTGTACACTTTGGTTGCCATGTCTGCTGGGCCCTATGTCTCTTCTGTGCATGTCTTGTACGTCTTGCCCGGTAAGTGACAGTAGCTCCGTCTGTCACAACCTTCTCCACAAGCCTGTACAGATTCCCCTCCAGTCGTCCATGTAGCATCACCGTATCTCCATGGATGACTTTGAGATTTCCTTTGCTAGATGTGAAGCTATAACCCTTCATGTCTAGCATACTTAAGGAAATTAGATTCTTCTTCAGTCTTGGCACGTGTCGGACTCCATCCAACGTGAAAATTTTTCCATCTTCCATTCTCAGCCGTACTGTTCCCATGCCAACAATCTTACTCACAGTGTTGTTAGCCACTCGAACAATACCTCCATCCTTGGCTTGGTAGGTAGAAAAAAGTTTCTTATCCATGCATATATGATATGTGCTTCCGGAATCTAAGATCCAGTCAGGTTTCGTCATACTCGACGAAACTGTAAATGCATACTCATCCTTAGCATTTACTGCAGCAGCGACATTTGATGAGCTCGCCTGTTCCTTGTGTGCCTTGTCCTCCTTGAGCTTTGCACAATCTTTTATGAGGTGATCCTCCTGATCACAATAATAACACTTTCTCTTGAAGCCTGACCTTGATTGCGAACGTCCTCTTGATTTGGATCTACCCCGTCTATCATTGGACCTACCTCTGCCTTGCTCATTTTCTGAGGCAACCATGGCATTTCCTTCTGGGTGTTTGCTACTGCTACCTTCCTGTTTCTTCATCGACTCATGAGAAATGAGCGTAGCAATCACCTCATCCAGTCCAAGAGCATCCAGTCCAAGAGCATCCTTCCCGTACAATAGAGTTGTCCTGAGATGCTCATATGATGCAGGTAGAGAGACCAGCAAGATCATAGCCCTATCTTCCTCCTGGGTCTTGTCTCCAATGGTGTCCAATTCCATTGTGATCCTATTGAACTCGTCCAGATGTTCTGTGAGATTCGCACCTTCTGGCATTCTGAGTGTATATAGCTGCCTCTTCAGAGATAACCGGTTTGTCAAAGACTTTGACTTGTACCTCATCTCTAACTTTGCCCATAGCTCCGCCGGATCTTCTTCACTGATGACTTCCCGGAGTGTGTTGTTCCCGAGATACAACTGAATTGTACTGTTTGCCAATTCCCTCAACTCCTCCCACTTGTCATCCTTCATGTCTTCCGGTTTGTTGGACTTTTTGAGAAGAGCTTTCACCAGACCTTCTCGTGTTAAAATGTTTTTCACCCTTTGCTGCCACAGGGTAAAGTCATTACTGCCATTAAAAGGCTCAATCATGAAACTTGCGCCTTTTCCTACCATTGTAAATTTCTTCCCTTTTTAAAGAAATTCCGATTTAAGAATCTAATCGTACGGATGGGTCCGGAATATTCCAAATAGTTGGAACGCACTATTGGATTGCTAAAAACGGACTCCGAATGGCCTAGATCTAGCCAAAACAGTTTCAACGGTTCAGATCTGCTGAATCTGGTGCGCATGAGAAGCACCAGATAATCGTGGGCACACCAGGGGACACTCACAAGCAAAAACACAAGAGTTTTAACGTGGTTCGGCAAACCGGCCTACGTCCACGGGAGCGATGTTGTTATATATCAACAAATGGAGGAGATTACACACTCTCAACTCACTGTCTCTCTATATAACACACTCTCTCACACTCTCTGATACACAAACAGAATATAGCTCTCACTAGCTCTCTCTGTTTTGTGCCTCTCTCTCAGCAGTGTGTTTCTCTCTTGCTTGCTATGTTTGCCGTGTATTCAACTCACCATCACCATTCCATTTTATACACCAAAACAGAAGGTGGAGGAGGCCTCATGGGTGTGTTGGCTGCCAGCCCAATATTCTCCTTTGAGCTGCTGTCCAGTTGAAAGCTTTGTCCCACCATGTGAAGACTTCACATGGCCAACTCCATGCTTTCTCCTTTGTTGCTGGCGCATGGCAAGCCTTATGGCTGCCAACTCAAGCCTCATGACTTGCCAACTCATGCCAACATCTTTTGCCTTCCTTTTACCATGTGGGTTGACCACCCTTCCATGTGGTTGCCAGCTCAATTTGGATTGATCTCCTACATAACAATGATTAGTAGTTCCGTAGGTTGATTTTTGGAGGAGTAGATCGAATTTTGAGGAACCTGAATTAGAGAGAGAGAGAGAGAGATGGTTTGATTCGTTTGTCTTATAGCTTTTCCCTCTAAAAAGTGCCTCCAAATTTTTTGCTTTTAGTTTTTTGATGCTTTGGAAGAGCTGTGACTTGGGCCGTCACTTCAATTATATGCGAATGATTTATTTTTATATTTGATAATTAGGAAAAGCTATGATACACAATAAACACTATATATATCTCATAATTAAATAATTTTATATTTTTTAAGTTATAATTAAAAAAATTATAATCAAATACCACATGAGATATAAATGAACATCTCATGAGTCATAACTAAATAATAAAAAAAAAATGATATAATTAAGAGTACATATAGTATATCTCTTTCAAGGAACGTGTATAATAAAATTTCCCTTCATAATTTTGGAATGTTTTGAAAAGACAGTAAAAATTTGATTTTTCAATTTTTTTCTTTAATTTTTTGACTTTTTTTCCTTTATATAATTTCAATAGGCCTTTATATAATATCAATTATGACAAATGTAAAAAATCTCATACACCTTTTTATTGCATTTATTTTTGTTTTAAGTGATTTAACCACTTATACGGATGGTGTTGGACGGCAAAGGAGAGGGAGTATGGCAGACTGGTAGGTAGCAGTTATGTACAGAAGAATGAGTGGGGTAGTAGTGATCCAAAGAAGGAAAGCAGCAGCGAGCTGAAAAAGTTTATATACTTGAATAAATGTCATAAAATTGGCATATATAATTCATGCCACTTTGTGGTTATATTTTTCGAAGCAAAATGTATACCGAATGTTGAAATCAAGACAAATTAGAAGACTAGGGAGTACAACATAATTATTTTTTGTTAGAGAGGATAAAATGACAATGATCTTAAAATGAATTGATTTTTTAATTTTTGATTATTTTAGTCTGGGACTAAAAGTTTGTTTAGGTTAGACTTTTTGATTTTTTAGACTTTTGCTAGAGAAAGAGTAAAATAATTATGATTTAGATGTGATATTTTATTTTATTAAATTTTTAATTTATTTTATCTTTTTGTCATTAAATTAGCCCCAATCTCCTGCCAAATAGTTGAAGGAGTACAATGTAATCCACCCTTTATTATTTTGTATAATATTTGGTTAATTGAGTGTTGGATTGGATGTTTTGACATTTTTAAGTCCAGACCTTATTATGGAATTTCCATTGTCAAACAAAGGCTATATTAAAAAAAATTTCCTTGCTGAATAGTTTTTGAAGTCTCCAAAGGGCTAAAGTACAATTTTGTTTTTTTTTTTTTTTTTTTTAATATGGTTAATTGAGTGTTGGATTGGATGTTTTGACATTTTTAAGTCCAGACCTTATTATGGAATTTCCATTGTCAAACAAAGGCTATATTAAAAAAAATTTCCTTGCTGAATAGTTTTTGAAGTCTCCAAAGGGCTAAAGTACAATTTTTTTTTTTTTTTTTTTTTTTTTAATATAAGCATGGTCCATGATGCCATGATGCAATGCGACTTTTATGTGATGTTTAATATGACAACTGTTTTTCAAATAAAAAAAATAAAAATATGAAAACTGTTATGTAACATGTTTTGTGGAAAGCAATTTAAAGAAGAAGAAGAAGGAGGCTAATAAGCCTTCAAGATCAAATTTGACTTTTTCTTAATTAATCCTAAAATGTTTACATTTTTTCATAGGATTTTTTAATGTGAGTTTTTGACTTCAAAACTCAAAATTAAAAGTTAGTTAAAAAAAAAGAGGATAAACTATATTTTTCACCTCTATAATTTAGTCCAAATTTTACTTTAATTTTAATTATTTTTATTTGAATAATTTAATCCCTACACTTCAAGTTCAGTTTCAATTTGATAGTTATGTTTAAATTTACGTTAATTTTTATCACGTGTACACCTTAAGAACCTGACAAGTATTCCAAAATTATAAATTTTAACTTCTAATTTGAACATAATGACCAAAT